ATTATCATCATCATGGTTTTCAACAATGATCGTTTTTTGATCGAATTTGAGTATCGACTCGCTATCTGAAATCCTCGGGAGTACACCAACAAAGACTGAAGAGTCTTTCCAATGTAATTGCCTCTAAAATCTATTCATTACTATCTATTTAAAATTATCCAGACGTAGATACGCGGAGGTGCTACTCTGGAGCGCAACAAAGTGACTTGTAAAAGCAGCTAGTGGCTTCTCTCTGTGGCGCGACCAAGTAGTCTGATTTCGACTTTTATTAGAGCCACGCTGCATGTCAGCAAAGCTGCAAACGTGCGTTTGAAGCGCCATCGGCGCTTACTTAACGCGTTGTTGCTAAAAAAAACTTTTGGTTGTTTCATTCCAGCCAGTAATGCTGGTGGGCGGGCAGTCCCTCCGGACTATGCCGGAAGGTAGGGCGGAAGGCCCTCTTCAGCCTGCTTTCAGGAATCGTGGGAATGGGTGGGTGGTGGTTCGGGTGAGAAAGATGAGACGGACGAAATGAAGATAGAAGAAGGTGAAAGATTATTTGTGGAATATTACTGCCTCAGCATTTGCCTAAGTGATCTAAGGAAACCACAGAAAAACTTGGACCAAGGCAGACGGACCCGGAACCGAACCGGCGTCCTCCCGAATGCTAAACAATGGTCTAGACCTCTAGGCCGTGCCGCTCGGTGCGTTGTTGCTAACGTGCTATACTTCATATACTTTCTCAAGCGATGTGCCCCTTCCAATGTCTTGGATGCAGGCTGGCAAAATAGTAGGTAGGAAGAAAAAAGCTCATTATACTCTCGACTCTAGTTCATTAAACATACTTTTTCATACAGTACCTGCCAAATGTTTTTTCAATCATGAATAGTAGTGCGAGTCGAAAACAAGCGTTAAAGCCTTTAATATGTCTTCAAATATAAATAAACGTCTCGTTGATATTTTCAGTAGCAAATGGTACCAATAACAGCATATTTGAGCAATGCACTTGTAGTGAATTAAATTGTCAATTTTTCCGTGCAGTACTGTACGGATTATACGCTCCTCACCGGTTAAGAGTTTCGTCGAGAGTTGTCTCCTTCCTTTTCTGGCCTAGTGCTGTTCTTTTCTACTTTGCGCCAGTCAAACTGAAGGTTACGTCGCTACAGAAAGTAAACGAAGTATACTAACATGCGTTGAAAATTTAGCAGCGCTGCCGACGTTCGTGGAAACATTGTTGAAGCGCTACCAAGGAGTCATTAAGCAGCAATACAAAATGACTTCGTCTGAAGGGGCCTTCAAAGTTTACCAATGAAATAATCGAGCGAAAAAGAAAGACTCTCTGACGCTATAGAATTTCTAATTTTGAACGGACGACACTACCACAACACGACTCGGAAGCGACGCGACGCGATGCGAGTAACTTCTTTGTTTTCTTTTTTTTCTTTGTTTCATCCCGAAATCGTTTCATGCAAGACGACAGTATTATGAGCCATTCACCGTGCACTTAAAGAGACGCAAAGGACCTTGTGTAATGTGCGAGACAGCCCATCAAGTAAAACTAAAAGGGCTTTTATGTACATTCCGAGTACGAAAGAGCGCGTTCGTTTTTAAAAAGTCTACGTAAACAAGTTTGTAAAAGAAGCATGTATCAAAGGCGAAAGTTTTCTAACTATTACATCTAGATACACCTACATAATATGGGAACGAAGTTTTCATTTTCATCACGTTATTCACAATTTACAGCGTTATTTAATGGTCAATGGTATTCGAAGTTTTTCCACGGTTTTGCTGAATGTTCATATTAAGTACAGTAGATATCGTTTATAACTACATTTTATTTAAATACACACCAACTCGTGACCTTCGCAACAGCTAGTGCGCAGACAGGTCAATTGTACGTTAGTAGTAGTAGTCAGCACTTCGTAATTACTGTTTGGCAATGTTGTTGACATTGAAGATAAATTGTGTTTACCGTATTAGATCAATTTTCAAGCACAAATGACACGCAATTAATTGGCGTCAGTTAAATTATCATATCTTCAGTAGTTTTTGAAGAAATTGACATTTAGTTTCCACCTGCACCCGAAACAATGTTCCTTCTTTTTAACAGAACTAATGGACGCACAAATATGATACTTACGTATTTAGAACCCGCAAACGACGCACAATTTATTGGTAAAGTTTGAATCAGTGGATTATTTATATCGGGTGTCAGATTCACACGACTGAACTCCACCACAACATGTATCAACGCCGTGTTACACAAGTAATTCTGATCATCATTGCCGTAGCAGTTGGGGCTTTCTGTAATGTCAGTAGCCTCATCTTTATGTATATCACTGAGTGGTGCTCATTCTATTTCTTTTTCATGTACCTTCTTTCCTCTTAACTTTTTCTTCGGAATAGTGGTCAGACATAGTGGATATGTACCTACCTATGTCACAAAGTACACTTTCGCCATTTTCCAAAAATTAAAGAATGCAATATATTAACTTACAAGTCCCCCCTATTGTACTTATTGATGACATTCCGCGAGGTAGTCCCCGCCCGTACATCCGAATGGGGGACTAGTTTACGTCTGGAGTGCTTTACCCCAAAGGACGCCATCATTTCATTTTGGCGTACGTTGTACTCGGGATCATAATGTGGTGGTTTCCCGTTGCCTTCCACATCGCAGTATTAGCATCAGAGTGCCATACCGATCTTCGTGATTTCTGCCACCCTGAGTATTGAAAGAGCTGCTGCCCTCTTTCAGGGACTTGTCTTAGTCTGGTTTCTCTTTAAGAACCCCTCCATTATTGAACCTATCGTTCGCTTCCCTAAATCATTGAAACTCGCAAGCCGATCCACCCACTCTAGTTTGTACAAGAGTTTCGTCAAGGTTCAAGTCCCGTCGGATCGGTAACTTACAAGTATGAGGTATGCATAATGAATGATTTAAACATTTAATATTTATGTTCCTGAAAGTAATACTGAAGAAAGGGGTGCAATCAGTATTCCTGAAATTGCCCACAGTTTCTTTTGCGCACCCACACGATTTTAAAAATTCCGCCTGCTTCGTACGTCAGAGAGCATCTGTTTGTCGAGTTGCTGGACCAACGAGACGTGGTTCCTCAGATTGTTATGTACACAGATGCGCTTTGGATGATGGCTATTGTGTGATAAGATAAATCATTTAAGTTCAGCTCTTCTTCAAGTTAAGACGCACACCAACAGACCCGGCTATAATTTTCATAATATAGTGGACGACTAAATAAATAGGATCAAAACACAAACTTGGAGTGAATAGTGTGTTCCCAATGACCAACTCCTTGTACATTTCGATATTTCTCCTGAGTGTCAGCGACATCGTTTTCTAGCCGAATGTGGTTCTTCTTTATCATCTGCGCCGCAAGTGAAAAAATCAAAACCATCTCTCAATGGTTCTGTACTTTCCCCGGTGTTTTTTTTTTACTACCCCTTCTCCTCGAGGGTCATCGTTATATATATGTCTATGTTCAGCAATTTTGCCTTGACAAATTTAGGCCACTGAATTTCACATTTACCGTCGCCATATTCGCTCTGTTGTAATATCCGATGTTGTTATAAACAATAGGTATTACGTATAAAGAACATTATTATTGAAATTTCATCGCTATAACCGCTGTGTCGTTATACCATATACAGCCTATTTCAATTTGTTTGTATTGTGACGTTGAAGAAATCTGCGCGAAGATAGAATGAATACACACTAGGCGTGAGCAAGACAGAAATAGTTGGAACAAGCTTAAACGAGCAGAGCTCTCGATGGGCGGTCTTAGGAGATCGGCTAGTACTGTACAGTATTAGACGAAAATGTTTAGCAATTTCTTAAAACAAAAATGTATATAAATTAACAATAGAAAACAAAGCAAAAGTTTTATAGGTGTGTAGAGCGTTAAGTTAATTCACTTGTTATTATTTTTGGCTAAATATGCTTTTAAACAAAGCATATTCTTAAATTTTAACGAGGCAGTTTAAAAAATTTTGCAAATGGTACTGTACACTTTTGTCTAGCTCTCGCTCGATGAAGAAATAAGCTTGCAGACAAATATGATTGAATTTGGTATTATGCTACGGCTCATCTTAATAAAGGGAAGGGGCATATCTCCAACTTCTTGAAACGAACAGTACATATGTCGTTACAAACGGTACCGACTGTATCTACTAGGTACACGATGCTCTTATTTTGAACATGTCATTAACAATTTATTATTCCGTTTTTCAATAGTCAGTAGTAAAGTATGTAATCGAAGTTCTTTCACTTTTCCAATAGACAAACTAGCAGACCATTACGAAGTTTCGCGTCGCAAGCTAACGTTTTATTAATGTTCAGTTTAAACGGTTCAATTCGTTTAATTTACGAGCATGAATTTATACCGGTGTACGTAATAACAATAACACACTTAATTAATTCGTTCGTACTACACCGACGAAACATTTTGCATGCGCGCATATATGCATGTATTTGCTTACTGGACAAGTATATGTACATTTGTATTGTATGTGGATGTAGGTCGAATTTTTGTCTCCATTGAAATATACTTACAATAAACCAGATAATTGCATTTTGTAATAATAATAATAACAATAATAATAGTAGTAACACGTAGTACCACTTCTTGCAATATTAGCATCTGCAAAACGGTAAAATGATAGTTCGTCGAGAGGCAGGTGGTCACCATTTACATGGGTACAGATGTGTTCGACATATACATAGTGTATATTATTTATATGTGCAACGGACTTGCCGATTTTATGAAATATACAATTATTTCGTTTAATGCTTATTTCAAGGAATAGACTTCGTTTGTGTTGTCTTTTCCTACTGTAAACTTATGATTCTAAGCAATCAAATAAAATCAGCCTTCGGTTGAAACTGGATTCGATTAGGTTCATGAGGTTACGGTAGGAAAATATCAACACGAAGTGTCTAAGTGTTGTGTGGTTATGGTATTTCTTTTGTTTACAGGAATATGGACCTTAAAGAAAGCTCTTTGATGTGCATATTTTAGTACATTGACATTTCAGGGTGTATAGCGCCAGGTCAAAAACAAAATTCCCGGAATTTTTCTAGCGTCTTAACTTTCTCAGTTATATAGTTTCGGTTCGATATTAGTATAGTAAGTTAAGTCGAAAAAGAGGGTCAACTTTGGAATGAGAAATAATTAAACTGTAAATTAGTACAAACATTTATTTTGGCATTCTAAAAGTTGTGGCAAAGCTCACATAATCTCGTGTCCGCATCTTAAGATATTCAAGGTTAAAGATTATTAAAATCGATTTTTCGCAAATATCTCTCTTTTAATGGTTTCAAAGACATTTGCATCTATTATGAAAATTGTAGAACACAAATTCTGTTTCAAGTATTTTTTCATATGCTTAACCCCATTATCTTTTTTACGATCAAGTTACATTTCAGATACTTGTTAATGATTTTTTATGAAACTGTGCTGGACAGGTCGACGCTACCCCCCTTGTTATGGAATGCCAGCTTTGTCTTTTCTTGAACTTTCTATATTTATTTGTTTATTGTTTTTAAAATATTGGTTTCCCCACTCGTGGATTTTTAATAAAGGTTAAATTGCTATTAAATTGTCAGTATGTTGTCCATGCGTTGGAATAAAATCCAAAAGGATGAAATTATTATTATGACCGGTAACTGCATACTACCTTGTCATACTGGCGATGACAGAATAACCATTTATGATAAAAGAAATTTTATAATTGCATTTTGCTATATTTTCATTTCAATAAATAATTCGCGTACAACGAACAACGATGGAAAATAAACCGAAACAGTCAATTTTTGAAAGGCATTTTCGAATCAAGTCAAGTAAACACCAAGCTACTTGACCAGACACTAGATGAATCATTAAACCCAACAGATAATCTTTTGACAACCCGGTATACAATCTGCGTATGTCGGTCTGTCCATATTTGCTTCTGGCTTATAACGTCACCGCGCGCGACCAAATACAGAATGGGAAGAAGCGGTTAGAATTTAAATGAGCCCCCTGTTAAGGCCCTCATTGATCCACTTCCCATCGAACAAAGTGAAAAGCTACAAACATTTAATCGCAGGACAGTTTGAAAGAGATCGGGTTTGTTTATAGACGCGAGTAGCAACAACGTTTTGACGTTTTAAAAAGTTACAAGAGGTGCTTGTTATAATTTTGTTTCTTTCGGTGCTATTGGTAACGTTCAGTGTCTTGGGTTAAAGAAGAAAATTTAGTTGATAAAGCCGTTTTGTTAGAACATCTTCATAAATGTCAATTTTTAACAAGAAGAGTGTCCAACAGGTCCTCCGTCCTGTCAAAGTAAGTTTTTATTAATACTTGTTGATTTTGTTCTTTTTGCTATTTTGAAAAATGCTTTACGAAAGTAAAATTGTTTTTTTTTGTATTTATTATGACGAGAATAGGAATAAATAAGAGGTTTATTAACAAATTTCATTAATCTTGTAAAATTAAGCACGCATGATTGATTGGTCATGAAATAATAGTCTAAGAGCTGTTGGAATTGGAATGTTCCAATTCATCAAAGTAACCTTCTCATTTCAAGGTTGGCCATAGACCTAGAACACCGGGGATTATCAGGGAATTTAATGCGATTGACGAATATCAGGGAATTTGGTTGTAATAATTCAATTTCGATTTTTATTTAAAAAAAACTTCTAATTAAATCTTCATAAATGCAGAAAACATTTTATTGAATAAAAATAAAAATTAGGGAAAAATTTGATATATTGTACTGGAAAATCGGGAATTATTAGGGAAATTTAAAATCATTCCTTTGTGGTAAACTTTAGTATGTTATTTATAAAACATTTTTATATTTTCGAAAATGTTTTGGAGTTTCAATAAAATTAAAGTTTTTAATTGACGTAATGAATTCATTTATATTTTTCCATTTCTTTTTTTTTTTAATTATTTGTGTAATCAATGTTTATGCTACAGTAGGACCTAGATAAGAAAAAGACCAAGGGAAACGTACAATAATTTGAGTTATTGAGGTTTTTACATACTAAGGGTTTAAGTTTAAGCTTTAAAATTATGGATTTTCAGTGACTTAGCAAACTCGTCAGCTTTTTTCTTTAGTATAGGTCCACTAACACTAATGTTTTTATATATTTCTACACTGCCTAAACCATTTAAACAAGCATTTTTCTAAATTAGGAAATTCAGTAATTCTTCGTCTTTTATATAGAACACTTTCTCCCGATTCAAATCACTTTTCACTGCTTACAGAGGTGCGATGACCAGATTATTTGTTTAAGTTATAGAGGGTTTTTATTTTAAGTAATAGAGGTTTTGGACTCCGAGGGGAAGGGAACACAAAATTTTATGAATTTATAGAGGTTATTACGTTTTAGAAAATACCACAAATGGCGCGGTAAACGCCATCTGTAGTACGATGCTACATTTTAGGACTACGTATGCTCCAACAAGGTCCATTTAAAAATATGGATATCTACTTGCTGAAACGAATCCCGGCGTAGCTAACCTCAACGTGATAGACACGTTACCATAACCGGGATTCGTTTCAGCAAGTAGATGTCCATATATTTAAATGGACCTTGTTGGAGCATACGTAATCCTAAAATGTAACATCGCACTACAGATGGCGTTTACCGCGCCATTTGTGGTATTTTCTAAAACGCGCTGTTAAGACAGCAGGTAAAAGTTGGTCTGTGTTCTGTCGGGAGCTGTCTGCAACGCGCTAATGAGATTCAAAACGATCGAAATCGCGATCCGCGTCTGGCAATTTCGACAGAATACAGACCACTTCGAATTGTTTTACTAGGCTATTACGTTGTCAGGGTTTAGTTATCAAGGTTCTACTGTGTAATAAATTTGATTCTATTGCCCGCTCAGCACAACGAATGGAAAAAATGTCCGTTTTAAGCAGTACGACTAAAAATTGTAACTTATTTTAAAGCTAAAAGGTACTGCTGGAACAATTTTATATTTGGAAACGGTATTTAATAGCAATTCATTAATTAAGAAGTCGAATAAAAAAAAATATTAAAAATTTTTCTTTTGTGATTTTACAGTCTTTTGAGAGACGACCCTGCAAATAGCACGATTCCGAGGCAAAATTGCACCCATATGAGTTCTTCGTGTAATCTATGTTTCAAAGAGTTTTACCCTGCGAACCTATTTCCAGGTACAAATTAAATTGCCATATTACATAGACAGTTCGCAATCTACGGTTTGTTAATGCGACGGAAATTAGTAGTAAATTGCTCAGCCTACCTGGTTTCAGACAGCAAAAATGCTATGCTAGTTACATCCTGTGAAATGACGTTTTCCAATACATAAGTCAGTGAAAATCGATGCACTGATGAACTTTAACTCCAATAGAGATTTAATTACCACAAGCTGTGATATTATATTACATAAATCATTATTTTAAGTAAAAATTTAAGCGATAAATGTTGGACGAAACAATAACAGTTGGCAATTGGGTATTCAGTGATGCGTTTCGGTAGAAAGTGCACAGGCGTACCAACTTGGTTTTTATTTTTCAAAATTCCTAGGAAAAGTCCAGGGCAGAGTAAACAGGGTGTGGAATCGCTTTAAATTTCAGGTTTTGCAGAGCCTCGTCAGTGACGCGTGAGGTGTATGAACGTACGTTACCATGTTGCAAGATTATTCGCGCTAGGCTGTCTTTAACATGACAAACTCGATGTTGGAGGTGTTTTAAATTCCATACCCTTCTTACTTCTCCGATCTTACGTCCTGCGATTTAAAATTTTTTCATTTACTCAAGAGAGACCTAAAGAATAATCATTACACCCCGGACGATGAGATGAAGGCAGTTATTAAGTCCTGGATTCGAGAAAAATTGGAAGAATTTTTCAGTTTGTCAAGTTCGCTAAACCCGAAAGAACAGAGACCCCCCTTAGAAATCATAAAAAAGTAGACTTGGAGAGCTTCCGTTTTGTATATGTCGCGTTTTCTAAACAAAATGATAATAATAATTAATTTTTGTTAGGAAGGAGTGCGTACATAGTATTTGTAGATTTAGAAAAAGCTTTTGACAATGTTAAATGGGACAAGTCTTTAAATATATTTGAAAATGTAGGGATGAGTTACAGAGATAGAAGGGTGATACTTAGTTTTTATAAACATAAATAGGCAGTTATTGGGATCCGTCAAATGGGCATACACCATCTGGTGGCAAAATTTATAACTCGAATGAGGGAAAAATTTACATAGGAACTGTGCACGCAAATTGTAAAATTGTTTATTAAAATAATAAAACACGTTAAAAAAGTAAAAATTTTTTTGATGATGGAGTCGACGAAGTTTTCTTCTAAAGTTAAATCAAATAAAAAGTTAATATTTTCAGTGAAAAGCTGCAATAGCACTTCAGACATAGATCTTCACTCTTCACCTACATTAACTACTTTCCAATAAAAACTAACCGTTTTATATACGTAAAAAATATATTCGGAAAATTAGAGAAAAAATTAAATTAATAGAAGCTTGGATGAAAGCAGTAGGTATCAAAGAAGTGAATTCCGGAATAAAAATTTGTTCACGTCATTTTAATGCACATGATTATATTTCAGCAAGTATTTACCATCAGCCATAACCTTAATATTTAAAACTAGAATCATACTAAAATTATAAAGTGAGAAATTATTTATTCCTGTGTAATTGATTTAACACAATTCTAATGATACGATATAAGTATTTTGAGGTTAAGAACCTACCTGCTGCAATACAACAAAGTTGCAATAATGTGTTTGCAACGTTCTCTTAAATCGGCTTTGCACGTGCAAGTCATTGATATGATATTGCTTAAATCACCCAGAATCACCTCACCAATTATATAACGTGAATCACTTTTTAAATCCGAAGTTTGTAAAAAAATTGGCAGTAAACTTGACGGAATTTGAAGGCTAGCTTTCGGATTTGTTATTTCCGAATTTTATAATATGATTGAAAACACGCTCATCTTCAACGAAATTTCCTTTCCGAGGCATTGTGTCAGCCCAATCACATATTGTGTCAATACTTATCATTTTATCGTAATTTAAAAACTTGGAATTTGCACAGTACACTATAGGAACTACGATAAATTTTCCCTAATCGGCGCCATATTTTTAGGCTCCTCCCATTTGACGGATCCCAATAGAGCTGGAGCTGCAGCGTAGAGAAGTAAGTATTGGGAAGGGAGTCAGACAGGGATGTACACTCTCACCGCTACTTTTTAATCTATACATCGAAGACGCGATCAACATCATTAGGGACAAAAGATTAGTATGCTTAGATTTGCAGATAATATGTAGCAGTATTAGCATCTAGCAAGGAGGAGTTAGAGACAGCTTTCTACAAATTGGAAGTGGTGATGACAAAAAAGTATTGTGTGGAAACAAATAAAAGTAAAACAAAAATATTGGTATGGAAGTGAAGAAAACGTAGGGAAAGAGCGAATATAAAGATAGGAGACGAAACATTAGAAGTGGCTGATTTTAGGTATCTAGCAAGTCAGATTAGTCAGGACGGAAGGAGTAGTAAGGATATAAAGCAAAGGATAGCGCAAGGGTCGAGTCGCCTTCAATAAAAAGACCTCATTTAAAAAAAGAAATTCGCCGTCGACATTTTTTTGCGGGACAAATAAAAGAAGAATAGTAGGAATAAGTATATATATATTTTTGGAAGAAAAATTTACAGTTACGCAAAACAATTTAAAATGACAATTTTTTGACATTTAACTACAGGGGCCCTAAGTGTCGTCAACACTTGGTTATGGACTTAAATGTAAATCAGCTATTATTAGTCCTCGGCTATGATAAAAATTTTAAATGAATTAACGAACAGAATTATCTTCATTGGCTTTATTGGTGTCAGCATTATATCTATCGAAAGAGTGTCGTAATGGAATTTACACGGTGATAGATATCGGCTGTAAAATGCTCGACGGATAACAATGAGGAAGCCTGTAAATGTTGTAAACTAATGCACTAGCGATAATCACATCATTAAGCTTAGGAAACCGTAAATAATCCGTTAATAACGATACCGTACACGTAACTTATCTATATGCTTATACTTATGTGTATAGTAAGCGATAATGTACAACATGAACGCACTCATTCTAGTTTGATAACCAAATAATGGTTGATGTCAAATAAACTGTGTCATTTCCTGTCCTACAAGTTTTTTTTTATTTAGAAAATGCAAGGGTTTGCTTTTGAAAAAGCCATAGTGTTACCTATTGCTTATCATTATCATTATTATTATAGAAAATTGTCAGTCCAAAGACCGGTTGGACACGTAGGTACTTCTATTTTTTCTAGAGTAGA